AGAAGGAATGCCATTAGCATCAGGAGAGAGCAAGAGAGAAGGAATGACAGTAGGCATGGGGGAGAGGGAGAAGGAGAGAGAGAGAGAAGGAATGCCATTAGCATCAGGAGAGAGCAAGAGAGAAGGAACGTCAGTAGGCATGGGGGGAGAGGGAGAAGGAGAGAGAGAGAAGGAATGACAGCATCAGGAGAGAGCAAGAGAGAAGGAATGACAGTAGGCATGGGGGAGAGGGAGAAGGAGAGAGAGCGAGAAGGAATGCCATTAGCATCAGGAGAGAGCAAGAGAGAAGGAATGACAGTAGGCATGGGGGAGAGGGAGAAGGAGAGAGAGAGAGAAGGAATGCCATTAGCATCAGGAGAGCAAGAGAGAAGGAATGACAGTAGGCATGGGGGAGAGGGAGAAGGAGAGAGAGAGAGAAGGAATGACATTAGCATCAGGAGAGAGCAAGAGAGAAGGAATGACAGTAGGCATGGGGGAGAGGGAGAAAGAAGAGTTAGATTTATACCCCACCCTTCACTCAGACTCCCAGAGCAGCTTACAATCCCCTTCCCTTCCCCTCCCCACAACAGACACCCTGTGAGGCAGGTGGGGCTGAGAGAGCTCTGGGAGAACTGCTCTTGAGAGAACAGCTCCAAGAGAACTGTGACTGGCCCAAGGTCACCCAGCTGGCCACATGTGGAGGAGTGGAGAATCAAACCTGGTTCTCCAGATTAGAGTCCACTGCTCTTAACTACTGCACTTTCTTCATGCAAGAAAGAGAGAGACAGGAAGTGGGAGAAGGGGTGGGAGAGGGAGAAAGAGAAACTGAGATAATAGATGGGGGAGAGGGGAGGAAGCAAAGGTGGGGGGAATGGGATGGCTGTATGTACCTGTCGATTCCTCTACAGTCCCTGGTGCGTGCAGCAATTTTGAACTGAATAGATATCGACCTCCTTCAGAGCAAAGACTGGCCTTCTTCAGAGCCATGCGACATCCAACATAAAGCTTTCTTGTTTGCCATTTTCCTTAGCTAAGGTCCACAAGGAGATAGATGACGTTTTGGGTTCCTCTCAGCCATTCAGCTATCAAGACTGGAAGAAACTACCCTACACCAGCGCTGTGATCCACGAGATCCTACGGGCTCACTTTATCTTATTTGTCGGGCTCCCCAGGCAGTGCGTGACGGATGTGAACATATCTGGTTTTGTGATCCCAAAGGTATAAGCACAAAGGTCCCCAACATTCTTCAGCTTACTATTGTTAGTATTATTTATTTATTTTATACCCTGCCCTATCCCACGAGTGGGCTCAGGGCGGCTAACAACGTACGATTCATAAAGCGATAAAAGCAATAAAACCAATCAAACAGCAGATGGCACAATATTTTATTTTTATTTATTCATTATTGCATTTATACCCTGCCCTACCCAGCTGCAGCCGGCTCAGGGTGGCTTACAGAGAGAATAAAAATGACAGTAAGTCATTTAAATAGTTCTAAAACCATGAACGGATAAAAGGAAGTACTTCTTCAGCCAAAGAGTGATTAACACATGGAATTCACTGCCACAGGAAGTGGTGGCGGCTACAAGCATGGACGGCTTCAAAAGTGAATTAGATAAGCATATGGAGCAGAGGTCCATCGGTGGCTATTAGCCACAAGGTATAGATAGGGGCTCTGGGGCAAGTGATGCTCTGTCTTCTTGGTGCTAGGGGGTTTCTTTTAAAAGGATAAAACATTGGATAAAAAGATTTAGCCCTGGTTATGGCCAACCAGGCATCGTTTGGTCCGGGAAGGGTCAGTTGATGTTGGGGCCCTGGTTGCAGTGCTCTCTGGGGAACATGTGGGGAAAGGCGGTCCCTCAGGCATGTTGGTCCCCAGGGGTCATTTCGTAGAAAAAGAGCTGCAGGAGCTCATTAGCATAATTCATTAGCATAACTCATCTGCATCTGCCACACCCCCTGACATCACCGGAAGTGTGTCAAAAGGCAACACCCACTGCTCAGGCTCCACTGGACTGTTTTGGATTGCTAGCTTTGACCTCACAGAGGAGGGAGAGCTTGTACCTGAATAAAACTTGGTCTTAAAGGTGCCACTGGACTCTTTTGGACTGGGGGGGGCGAGGGTAGTGGTCTGCAGCTTACCTAGCTGCTTCTTGCAAGGGGTGGGGCTTGTTGCATGTGCCCGCCCCCTGGCCTCTTTACTGCCGGAGCTCCGTTCCTGTGCGCTCCCGCAGGAAATGACCCCTGTTGGTCCCTGACCATAAAGGGTCAGTAACAAAATAGTAACAAATCAAAAGAGTAATCAAATAATAAACAGTAACAAAAAAGAACCCATACCTCATGTCAGGTGAATAAAAAGCTCCGGTGCCCAAGTAATGTTATTGAAAGCCACAGGGCACTGGGAAGGGGGCATGAAGAGGGAACGCCAGAATGGTTGGATGTCAGCCCCCTCAACTGAAAGCCTAGTGGAACAGATCCACTTTACAGGCCCTGCGGGATTGTAATTAAGAGGCCCTGATCTCGTGGGGGAACATTGAGGCAGGGGCCGAAAAAGCCCTCGGCCTGGTTGAGGCTAAGTGGATATCCCTTGGGCCAGGGATCACCTTTGAGGCACCTTCGAGATCCTGACACAGGGTGATGTGTGCAACCAAAATATGGCTGTCACAGGAGGTGGAACCAACCAAAAAATGTCAGGGTACATTCAGCGTTAGATTTTGTTTTTCCTGACCAGTCCCTTACACAAATCTACAGAAGTCTCTTTGGGGTATTTGTTTTACTTATTAAAGAGTTAGGCATTACGGCTTGTTAACTTCAAACCAGAACAGGCTTTATTTACAGAAAACACAACAGGGGGATGGAATATATATATAAAGGATATTTTGTTTCCTTTCAGACTTTAGTTCTCGCCTTTACGTTCACTTAGGCTGTATGTTTATTACTTTCAGTTCATACATAGGTGTTCATCAGTTCACTAAACACACTTCTACTCCCACTCTCCAGCAACTGCTTTGTGGTTTTCCTTTGGCTTTTACTAACAGATCTCTCTGAGTCTCCCTGGTCACCAGACCAGCTTTCCAGACTCCTGCCAGACCGTTCTTTAGCCCTTTCTAAACCACCTCCAGTTCCTTCTGGAAGAATGTATCTGGTGTTTGTGTTTTACTGTTCCCACTCTGTGCACCTTCCTCTTTCACTTTAGAGGGACTCAGGGCAACAGGACCTCAGCCACAGTTCTCTGCTCAAACTGTGAACAGGCTGTTTCCACAGAGCTACAGAGATCTGCTTCCTCCACAGAGCTCCTCAGTAGTTGACTGCTCTCTGCTAACTCCCCTGATCAACTCCCCACTAACTGCTTCTTTCCAACTGCTAATTCCAAACTGACTGTTTGGTCCAGTAAATGCCAATCACTGAGGGTTCCAAGCTAAATGCCCCCCTCCTCACTCAGTCATGTGACTCAGCAGTGTTCTGTGTTTACTTTCTGCTGGTCCCAGTTTTCCATTTCCGTCACAAACCCCTTGGTCATCCAAGGGCCCCACTGCCTCCCTGGCTGGTTTCCTGCTTCTAATGTATTTGAAGAAAGTTTTATTGTTGGTTTTTACGTTTTTTGCTATATGCTCCTCATATTCCCTTTTTGCCTGCCTGACCACAGACTTGCATTTTATTTGCCATAGCCTGTGTTCCGTTTTATCAGCCTCACTGTGACTAGCTTTCCACTGCTTAAAGGAATCCTTTTTACATTTTACAGCTTCTATTACTTTGTTTGTTAACCATGCAGGCTTTTTCCTTTACCTATTTGTGCCTTTCCTAACCTGCGGAATATATATTTTTTTGTGCTTCTAGGATCGGAAGGGGAAGGGATTGTAAGCCTCTCTGAGACTCCTTTGGGTAGTGAAGGGCAAGGTATAAATTTAATTTCTTCTTCTTCTTCCTTGCAGGGGACTTCCATTACTTTAGATGTAGACTCTGTTCTTCATGACCCCAAGTACTGGGAGGCCCCTAAAGAGTTCTATCCAAATCATTTTCTGGACAAAGATGGACATTTTGTGGAGAGAGACCTGTTCTTTCCATTTGGTGCAGGTAAGCACTGAAGTCCAAGTCACCATGATTAAGAGTGAGGTATAAGCAGTTGTTTTTTCCAAGGTTAAAAGGGGGAGGAAGAATCTGTTTTACTTAGCACAAGGTCTTAGAAAATATCAGCCTTCATTCACTGGGTTGTCTTAATATTCTGTGGTTTGCTTCTCTATTGAAAAGGGAGTTAAAGTGGTTACTATTTTCACCATGGGGAATAATGAGAACCTCATATACCTTTTCCATAACATTGTTTATTTATTTATTTATTAGATTTTTCCCCCGCCCTCCCGCCAAGACCGGCAAGATGAATATGTACTTAATTCAATTCTGGCTGGCAGGATGAATATGTACTTAATTCAGTTCAGGGGTCATTTTGAGCAGGAACGGGCAGAGACGGTGTTCTGGGAGTAACAAGTAAACTCCTCCCCCCTCCTTTCCCTTCACCTTATTTCCAAGTGGGGAAAAGGGAAATGGGGGGGAGAAAGGGAACCCAGGGTTTCTTCTGCCTGACAGAGGGGCCAGCCCAGAGGGAACCCAGCAGAAGCTTCTGCATGGCAGAGGGGCCAGTGCTGGCACGATTGTAATATTTTGCCTATTCGAACATGACTGAATGGCTAACAACAACAACAACAATGTTTTTACTTTCAGAGTTTTTGTAGAAACATCTGTCTTGTTTGTTTATGGATCCAACTATCCACAAATTTGGCCATGTCAAGAATTAAATAGATTTATTATGATTGATCTATACTTTGATTTTGTCAGCCAAAACATCTTCATGAGAAAACATTCTTAGCTGAGGAAGATCCGGATCAGATCGGGGACTGTCTCCATAGAGTCTCCATAGGGTAAAATGATCCTCCCCAGTTGCATGGGGGGGCGGTGGCAGGCTCCCATAATCGAAGAGAACACAAATTGCTTTAAACAGGGGTCATTTCTTGCAGGAGCGCACAGGAGCAGAGCTCTGCCAGGAAAGAGCCCAGGGGGCGGGCACATGCAACAAGCCCCACCCCCTGCTCCCAGCAGCCCTCAGTCAGAGCAAGAAGCAGCTAGGTAAGCTGCAGAGCCCCCCCTCCCCTTGGTCCAAAACAGTCCAGTGGCACCTTTAAGACCAAGTTTTATTCAGGTACAAGCTCTCCCTCCTCTGCGAGGACAGATCTCCATGTCCCCCCCCCCGATAGCTAGCAATCCAAAAGAGTCCAGTGGAGCCTGAGTGGTGGGTGTTGCCTTCTGACACACTTCCAGTGACATCAGGGGGTGTGACATATGCAAATAAGTTATGCTAATGAGTTATGCTAATGAGCTCCTGTGCCTTTTTTTCTATTAAATGACCCCTGGCTTTAAACCCCCTCAGTCTCTGGAGTCGCTCCGCAGAGGTGGCGTGCTCCTTTCAGATGTTTCTGCCTCGCAGCAGGGCCAACACTGGCCCTGCTGCCACACAGAAGCTTCTGCTGGGTTCCCTTTCCTTTGCCCCGCTTGGAAGTGAGGCGATGGGAAAGGAGGGGGGGGGAGGAATGGATCCCAGGTGCTTCTGCTTCTCAGAGGGGCTGATGCACTGGCCCCTCTATCATGCAGAAGAAGCCCTGGGTTCCCTTTCTCTCCCCCCCTTTTCCTTCGCCCCACTTGGAGGTGAGGCAAAGGGAAAGGAAGGGGGAGTTTACTTGTTACTCCCAGAACACCGTTCCTGCCCGTTCCTGCTCGAAATGACCCCTGGGCCCTCCGTCTAGTCATTTTAGCTTCGAGGGAAAGTTCAGGCTTGATTTGTTCTAGAGCCGACTCATTTGTCTGTTTGGCAGTCTGCGGTATCCGTAGAACTCTCCTCCACCACCACATTTCAAATGTATCTTTTTTCTTCCTGTTGGCTTTCTTCACTGTCCAACTTTCACACCCATGTACCAATCCAGAAATCCAAAAAGAATGTGGAAGGCACAGTGGCTTTGCCAAAGGGAGTTAATACTGGGCAACTTTGGGAAAAGGAAACACCACCTGGACACCAAACCAAATTCCTTTCGTAATCAACAATAGCTGCTGATTGGAGGCACGTGTGCTGGACAATGGATGGAGCAGATACAGCTGACTCTGCCTTTGTTTCCTCTGCAGGAGCCCGTGCATGTCTTGGGGAGCAGCTGGCAAGGACTGAACTCTTTGTTTTCCTCACCAGCCTGATGAGGGAGTTCACCTTCCACCTGCCAGGAGGAGCGAAGGAAAAAGACAAAAAACCCGTGTTAGGATTCACAACAGCTCCCCATTCCTACAAGATCTGTGCTGTTCCTCGCTGCAGTACAGCATAGCCAATGAAAACAATCTTAATAACTCCTTACCGTCCATTTCTCCATCATTCCTTTTCACTTGAATCGACATCCTGCTGTGATCTGCCCAATTATCTCTGCCCTTTAGCCTCTCCACTCCGTTCGAGCTTGGCAAATGTCCCGTTTAGAGGAGGAATTGAGGAAGATTTCTGCAGCTGCTATTTTCTGAACAAATCACCATGTAATATTTGTTTATGATTATTAAAAGTTATTTAGAGTGGGCGGTAGGTTTAAATTAAATTAAAGGTTATTATAGAGTGGGCGGTAGGTTCAATGGTGGAAATCTGAAACCCTTACAAGAAATAACAGAAGAGATAGGCAAACAATATTAGTTAAAAATAGCAGGGCTATATAAGACAGTTAAAATGATCAGCAAAAAGGAAGACCTTTGGACAGACGCACCAATGGAAGTATTATACAAAGAAATGGCCAAGCAGAAAAAGGGACTGGTAGGAAAAATATATAGAAAGATGCTAACAAGTAAAGATAAAATAACAGAATACTTACCAGTTTGGTGTAGTGGTTAGGTGCAAGGACTCTAATCTGGGAGAACCGGGTTTGATTCCCCACTCCTCCACTTGCACCTGGCTGGATGGCCTTGGGCAAGCCATAGCTCTGATAAGAGCTGTCCTTGAAAAAGAGCAGTTTCTGTCAGAGCTCTCTCAGCCCCACCTACCTCACAGGGTGTCTGTTGTGGGGAGGGGAAGGGAAAGGAGTTTGGAAGCCGCTCTGAGACTCCCTCTGGTAGTGAAGGGCGGGGTAGAAATCCAATCTCTTCTTCTTCTTCTTCTTCTTCTTCTTCTTCTTCTTCTTCTTCTTCTTCTTCTTCTTCTTCTTCTTCTTCTTCTTCTTCTTCTTCTTCTTCTTCTTCTTCTGCCTCCAAAAGAGATGGTGCCATGAAGGTCAGATAACAGAGAGGATGGGCGATAAAATTATGAAAGGAGTGGAAGATGTCAAAGTAATTAGGCTTAAAGAACTTGAATATAAATTCCTTACAAAATGGTATAAGACACCAGCACAGCTAGCTAATATGATTCCAGGATTGAGTTCGGTGTGCTGGCACTGTAAACAGACTAAAGGTTGGTATGCACACATGTGTTGGGAATGTGCAGAAGTAAAGTCATCCTGGAGGGAAATTGTGGAAATCATTAGAAAAGTATGCAACGTAACATTAACTATAGACTTTAATCTAATGTTGTTAAGTACAATAGGATGCCTGCTACTGGATAGGACTCCTCAAAATTTAGTTAAGGCTATGTTACTGGCGGGAAAGGGGGGAGAGGAAAGGGATGAAATTGTATACAGCTACAAATATTCGATGTAACAGACTAAACAAACTATTAAAAAATTAAAAAAGAGACAACACATTAACAACTTCAATAATCTGATAACATTTATTTAAGTCTTGCAGGAGACTTGTGGGCAATTCTATTGTCCTTTACATTATTATTACAATTGTTAAACCGTGCAGAACATATTGAGCACCTATCCTCAGGTCAGTTTAACTCCCAGTCCACAGCACTGCCATTTTGCGTGGTTTTAGTTTCGTCTTATTCACTCTCTTCCTCACTTCCTCCAGGTGCCAGTTAAGGAATATTTACCACCTCCCTGGAACTGGATGGAGATGGAGAGGGAGAGAGAGAGAAAGAGGTATAGCATCAGCGTATCAATGAGAATTTGTTCTGAATTCCCAAACAATTTCACCCAGTGGTTTCATGCAGGGGGAGGGTTGGACTCTAAGGAAACCCCGCAGATTGAATGCAAAAAAAAAAAAAAATCCCAAAGGAGATCTCCCACACTGCATCTTGGAACCTCCATGGTACCATGGTTGATATTATCAAAAACTGTTCAGAGGTCCAGTGATCCAATTGGGACCTGCCCGATCATGGTGGGTTCTGTGGCGTACTTAGGATGGAAGTCAGACTGAAAAGGAGATAATCACTTTCCCCTAGAAATAGCTGCCCTTGAGAAGTGTTAGGAGAGATCCCCGTTGGGAGACCAATCCGTTAGCCCAAATCCGTCTTATGTACGATGGCGGCTCGTGGGTTCTTTTGACCAGTGTATACAGAGAGCAGAATCAGAACGGAGACTCCTTTTTCCCCATAGAAAGGGACAACACGGTTGGATGTTATAGAATAAGTTGTTCTCTTTACTGAATAATAATTGAATTCACAGGCATACAAAAACAGATTCACTCACACACGCTCACAAGTTCCTTTAGATACAATAGAAATGGAAAGCAATCAGTATAGAAAATAATAACCTTTAACTAATTGGATAGGAACACAGAAAAGGGTAACGGTTATATTTATCTGATCCAGAAGAGAGTTCAACCTTCTCAACGAAGAATGCGGGAACAAAAGATCTAACTAGAGGGATTCTACTTCACACAGTTGGAACCAGCCAACACGTGTGGGCTTCTTGGCTGCAGTCCAAGAGAGCACATGAGAATTACCTGCAGTAGAACTTGAGTTGCCTAGGTGGGGTAAAGATGGCTAGCTAGCATGGAACAAAGGTTGATCCTCGCCTTTTATAACCTAGTTTGGGGGTTGGCATCTGTGCCAACCTCATACCTGTAGTCCGTCCCATGCCTTATACCTATTGGTTACTGGGAAGTGACGTATCTACCTAGAGGGAGTGGGAAATATTCAAATCTTAACCTTTAACTCAATGGAAGCATCTGGTCAAGGTGTCAAGTTGTATTGCCAAGGAAACCTTTGTAGTACAGATGACTTTAGCTGGTCCCCAAGCTGTAAAAATGAAATAGTCACTTTCTGATGCAAACCAGATATCAGGGTTGCGTGTTGACCAGAAATTCCTTGATGGTGGAAGACCTGTTGTTTGTGCTAGTCCTCTTGGCTGACCATAATGGAGAATGTCTTCTTCTTCCCAGGCTGGGTGGGTAGGTGTGTGTGTGTCTTAATTAGCATACTAGTGCAGGCAGCACATCAGCATAGCAGCTTCCAGATGCAAGCAGACCAAAGCACACAGTTTTCCCAAACCCATAAACAATGCAAGTACATTCCATACATACATGTATCAGCACAATACAAATAAAATACAATTTTAGGCACATTCCTTAACAACATCAAGCTACATCAAGTGTCTCAGTGTTTCTAGCTTGATGTAGCTTTTTATATTTTATATAAATGCATTTTCTTCATGAAAAAAATCTTAAGAAGGACTGGTTCCTTTGGTGCACAGTCCACAAACTACTCCCATCCAGTGCATCCACAAACCTAGGGTTGTTCTGCCAGTGAACTAGGGTTGCCAACTCCAGGTTGGGGAAATCCCTGGAGATTTGGGAGTGGAGCCTGAGGAGGGTAGGGTTTGGGGGAAGGAGGGACCTAAGCAAGGCATAATGCCATCATGGACTCCACTTTCCAACGCAGCCATTGACCTAATCTCTGTAGTTTGGAGCTCAGTTGTAATTCCAGGAGATTTCCAGA